AAAAAGGCCATTTATTTCTGTCTAGAATGATGTACAAATAAGCGTTCTTGCTCATTTTGCCTCCGAGAAATGAGCAAAAACGGGACGGAAAACATAAAATATTGCAATAATGTTACGCCACCCTTGCACAAATCGACGATAAATTTTCTAATTTCATAGACAACAGAAGCTGGATCCGCCCCTGTGTTGAGAAAATTTTCATTTTTTCAAAAAATCGACCGTAATATCTTTTTTTCAACAGCAACAAAGACATATTTTGACAGATTTTCATGTAAATTGAATAATTTATGCGCGAGCAAAAAATTGAACGGTTTTTCGCCAAAATCGCCAATGTCGAAAAGTATTAAATGGAAAAACTTTAGATTATTTTATTACCTGCAACTGTGCCATTCAACGTTTGCCGCTAGGAGGCCACATTTCGCCGCAACTCGCAAACACCGTTCAAGAAATGTTTGCTCCATCCCCAGCGTTTTTGGGCTGAATGCTCTTTTCGGTCTGAAGAGTCCCCAATTTGCACCATAGAAACTTTTTTCCAGTAAGATTATTCAGTTTGTCCTAGAAAAGCAACATTGTTCGTCCATCTTCGAAGAAAATCTGGAATTTTCTGGCGCAATTCGGAAATTCGGCGCGACTAGCGGCAATGCCGCATTTCCCCTTAGGTAAGCGCGAAGTCTCATAGGCCGACATCTCCGACTCCCTCTCCGCATCCAAAACTGTCGGTTATTTCAGGGGAGCGATCTGCACTGTATCATCGCCTGCAATGGAGAAGAAACTTCCGTGGGTGGGAGCCCCGCACTTGACCAATAATCCACTTTCGCGCTTTAAATAACGGCTTTAGAGTCCACTTTATGACCTTCTTGAATGCCGCTCGGCACTTGTTCTCGAAGCTTCGATTGAGCTACTTGATTTTCTACTCGGTGCTCAATGCTTGAACGCGGTACTTTGGGGGCCCCCGGCCAGAATATCCACGACTTTGACCTGTCGCGGCGCTTAGAGTCCATTGTGGAGGCCAGCGAGGGCTTCCATTTCGTCCAGCAGAACGGCCAGCGAATTTTTACGGCGACCCCCGACCTGAATCTGCCGAACCCCCCTGCAGGCTGCGAAATTTTCATCGGAAACATCCCCAAGTTTATGTTCGAAGACGAGCTAATTCCCATGTTTCAGTCCGTTGCCAAATTGTTCCGGTTCCGGCTAATGCTCGATTTTAACCATCGGACCAGAGGTAAGCATTTTCCAAACTTTGCTTGTTCGTGCTGGTTTTACTAGGAAAATAGGGAAAACTGTTATAACTTTCACGACTTTTGCACTGTCAAACCGCCCTTTGAAGCAGGGCTTCTGTCAAAAATGAGCACTTTGCCTGTCAGCAATAAGGCAGTTGTCATAGCAATAAATAA